TTATGGTTATTTGAAATAATTTTTTTTCACATTTCATTTTATGTGTTAATTCTATTTTATTAAATTCACAAAATATTTTAGTATAATAATTGCAATAAATTTAGCAATAAATGGATATCAATTTCATAAATAAAGTTAGAGTAAATTACTGAAATCGTCCCTATGGTTCGGTCAAAATTTTACGTTTGGTCCCTAACGTTTTTTATGCATTCGGAACGTCCCTATGGTTTGATTTCGTTGCGTTTTCATCCCTATGGTTTGGTCATAATTGGATGTTTGATCCCTAATTTTACGTATGTAAGGGACAAAGAACAGAACAAAATCAGACCACAGGGACGATCCGAGTGCAAAAGAAAAGTTGAAGACCAAGCATGAAATTTTCACCAAACCATAGGGACTATTTCAGTAATTTACTCATCAAACTTACCTTTTTATTTAAAAATTTCAAAATTAAGTTCATTAGTTTCTTTTGTTTATTTATTTAAATTATTTGCTTAAGTTTAAAAGATAAAAAACATTTCAATTATAATAATTTATTATGTTTCTTGTTTTCTTCAAAATTCAAAAAGTACTAAAATACTTAAACCTTTATATGCATGCATGCCCACCGTAAAGTAAATCATGATCTGATCAGGCACCGTCGTCGTCCACCGGTGGGGGTGGTTGTCAAAGATCCGGGAGTTTGAACCTCTTAGACCACCCTTGTTCTCCATCAGCACGTTGCATAGAAACAAAGTCGGCAGAAAGCGCCATGGCAATATCCCTACTTGCTGCTAGTCTCTTTTTCTGTGTGTGTGCCACCGGATGTGGCCACACAACGCTTTCTCGTGATACATGTCTTTCTTGCAAATCGGGCAGATCACCGGCCTTTTTGCAGTACCTTGTCATGATTATTTTGAATTAATTATTTTTTCCAAATGTCATTTTATGAGTTTTTCTGTTTTATTAAATTCAGATAATATTTTAATGTAATAATTGCAGTAAATGTAGTAATAAATGGATATCAATTTCATTAAGTAACTTACATTTTAATATCAAAATTTCCAATTTAAAATTCATTAGTTTCTTTTGTATATTTATTTAAATTAGTCGTTTAAATTTAAAAGATAAAAAACATTTCAATGATGTTAATTCATTATTTTTCTTATTTTCTTCAAAATTTAAAAATCTTAAATATTTAAACACACACACACACACACACACACATATATATATATATATATATATATATATATATATATATATACACACATATCTATATATATCTATATATATATACTAGCCGTTTACCCGCGCTAAGCGCCGGGCGGCAAAAAGTTTCTTTCGGAAGATAGTTTTAATGTGATGATTGGCTTCCTTTAGACGTGAGCTATTCATTGCGGCCATTTGGTAGACTATTTTGTGTCGAATAGTTCATTTCAACATATAGTTTCTTTCTAAGTGCATAGTCATACAATACGACAAAAGTTGAGTCTACATCTAGAATAATTCATCTAATACCTCATACTTGATTTTACAATATATAAATAACAACAATCTACAACCATGTAGTTTTGTATATTTATAACATGTCCAATATATAAACTACACCAATCTGCCATCATGTTGCTTCATCTGCTAGCCCTACATTAAACATCAAATAAGCATCTAAGATACATATTTGAAGAAATTGTAAAATAATAAGTTGTTGATTGTACCTTCTTAATCACATAACACTTCTTTGTACATAACATTTGATGTGTAGATTTCATCATTATCAAACATTTTTTCCGGCTTTACTAATACCTTGGTATTGACACGTGATACTCCTCTGGACAACGCTACATAAAGTTGGCCATGTGAGAATACCGATTCTGGTAGATAAACACCTACATTTGGAATTGTTTGTCCTTGAGATTTATTGATTGTCATAGAGAAACTAAGCTGAATTGGAAACTGCTTTCTCTTAAGTTTGAATGGGAACATCTCATCGTCAGACGGACATAGAGGAATTCTTGGTAAAAACACTCTTTTTCCAGCATGTTGGCCAACAGCTATCTCTGCATCAATGACATTTTGTTGGAAAGCTCGGCATATCAATCTGGTGCCATTACATAACCCATTTGAAGGATCGATATTTCGCAAAAGTATTATAGGGCACCCAGTTTTTAACTAAAGATAATGAGGGGGTACACCACTAACATTTAGCGAGTTCAACTATTCCATCGGATATAAGTTATTCTTTTCATCTTCCGCTTCATCAAAACTATAGTAAACTTTTTGCTCGCCAGAAAATCTTTCAATCAACTTATTATTAATCTCATCAACACTTTCATTTTTAGTTGACAATAACGCCATCGAAATGATAAATTTTGAATCGGCGCCATTGGATTGCAAAGAAGGAAATATTGCATCAATTAGAGCGTCCACTGATTTAGTTTTATCAGTGTATGGAATGGACATGTTATCAGGTATTCAAATATAGGACTCATCCAATGTTTCCTCCTTTCCATCACCGACTCGTAATAAAAATCAGAAAACCATGGGTCATTTACCGCTCTCATGTTGATATTTAATCGAAGCCTTTTAACTGAAGTTATGGTTATTTGAAATCACATTACATAAGTTTGATCTTGTTATTTTTAGGTAACAAGTTTCTTGTTTTAACATATTGTAGATATTGTTAAAATTGATAAATTTTGTTAGATTATGTGTTAAAATGATTCACTTAGTATTTATTATATCACCGGCAAGACATCTTGATATTATCTATATTATAAAAACTAATTTTAATAGTTTTCTTTGGACTTAAAACTTTCTACACCCACTTATAAAAAAATTACTTACGGTTGGAACAGTATAATATTGTAACCAATTTATCAACAAGTTTGAAGTAAACTAGCTTTTTATATATATCCTACAACTTAATATTTAGTAATTCAGATCTTAAGGCAAATAATATTTATTAAATAAAAATGTAACTTGTCAAATAAAAAAAAAAAGTCTAATTGTATAAATTATAATAAATTATTATATCTAAAACCCATCAATAATAATACTAATAGTAATAATAATATATAGTATTGATAAAGAAGAAAGAAACTGTTGGCGTTGTTTTTTTGGTAAGTTGAAGCCGTAGAAAGAGTGAACCGTTGATGAGTGGGATCGGAGGGTAGAAAATTAAGTGATGATTGGGAGTGGAGATGGGTTGTGACGCACATGGTTGGATGTATAACTTCTCCTGATTGTTGTTTCCTCCTCCCTCACATAGTCACACTTGCAAAAAAGGACCATCATCCATATGTAAAGCGGTAAAGCCAATTTAATGTAAAATCACACCCAATAATAATCACTCCTTTATGCTAAAACACTTTTTTAAACATAATATAAGAAAGCCATGAAGACTATAAAAAGTTATACAAATATTAATTATATAAGTAAAACTATTTTTTTAAATTTAATTAGAAAAAAAGTCCTAAAACAATGTATAGAAACAATTAAAGCATTAATTGAAAAGAGAACGTTCTGTATTAATTTCAAAAGAACATGCCACAATCAATTCGATAATTAAAAGATATTTATTGATTAAAAAATTTCAAAATAAACCAACAATACATAAGATTTGAAAAAAGTATATACAAATCAATATCATTTAATTTATCAAATCAATACATATTCACAATAAAAACGTCATGCTCTAAGGTGACTTAATTTTGTCTGTATTGTCTTAATCTTATTTGACAGGGTGAAATATCAATTAATGGAAAAAACTTAATACATATGGTCACTTATGATATTAACATAAATTTTAGATATAAAATGAAGTTGATGGTTAATATTAGAAAAAGGTCCTACATATTGATTTTTTTTTTCCGATTGAATGTATGATTAACTCAAACTCAAACTCAAAAACACAATGTCACAACTTATACATATACATATACAAACTACACATATGTACAATGTCATAAACAAATACATACACACATATATACATATTATATACATGTATTATTTGAGATAGAGAATAAGAAGATTATCAATTTAGATAGAAGATAGAATAAGATTATCATTTGAAACAAAAGAAGTCTATCACTTCAAATAGAAGTAAGAAATAAAATATTATACACATTTGAAGTTACAAAATATAAAAGAAGTAAAGAGAACCTGAATTCGTATCAAGAAACGCGATGAAGCAGTCTTCCGAATTCGAAATCAATGATCCAATCGTCCTAAAACCCCAACTGTGAAATATTGCCGTGAGAGTTAAAAATAAAGAACATAATTTAAATTTATAGGTAGAATAATGTATTATAGAATAGAAAATGATGTATTTTTGGATAATGATAATCCTTCCAAAATTAAGCAAATTAAAATCTTACCATAAATATTAAAATCCATACCAAAAATATTTAAAATCTTACAAACTTAACAAATATACTAAAAAAATTTAAAATAAATATAATAACTATCAAAATCCCTACCAAAAATATTTCAAATCATATGAACCTTAACAAATATACTAAAAAATTTTAAAAAATGAATATAATATTTGTCGCTTTTATTTGTGGAAATATATTATAATCTAAAGAACAATTTAACAGATCAGTAAAAGTTGACCACAGTCAAATGGCAAAGAACAGTTTAACAAAAGGTAAACATATACAAATTCAAAACCAAAAGTTGACCAAAGTCAAATGGCAAAATGGTAAAATCTTTAGAAGGTTACATGGTCAAATGAATAATCAGAGCTGCAATCAACAAAGTGAAGAAATTCAACAGCATTGGAACATACTACATCAATTGGAAGTTCCCTAAGTAAATAATGGAGAATAATCGATATCTAAGGAACTTCTCCATATAACTCCAATGAATTATTTCCTAATCCAAGTCTCACAATCATATCAGCAACTTGTAGTTAAAAATTCAACATCCCATAGTATACCAACAATGAATATGTAGTCAAAAAGTCAAAATCTCTAACCTGATTTGGATTCCCAAAAATGCATTTCATGATATACTCAATTATTGGTTCCATCATGCTGATAACCAACCTTCGATCTCCCAAAAAGTTCCCATACTTGATTTCTTTGATGGATACAATCCGTGTAAGTACAATTTTTTTTGTCACTAATGCAAGCTATCAGATGCCCTATATCATAGTCAAAACATATAATTAGGCCACTTAATCATTTGCACATTACATAATTAAAAAGTCGATACCTGTATCAAGTTGGGGAAGTTTCTGGGCACAATGAAGCAAAAAGAAGCGACAGTAGGCTGATGCTAATGGATCTGCAACCCCTCTTATCATTGTAACCAATCGCATGAGGTCATCCATTACATTATCATGCAAAAATCGCCAGCATAGCAATATCGCAAGCTCAAGATAGCTAAAAGACAATGTCAGATTAGAACAAGTTAAATCATCATAGTATTGAGGGGTTGTTTTTTTTACTTAGTGGGCTTAATGGGTTATGCACTTAATCTGGACAGCTACACATGGCTGTTTCTTTTTCACTTAATATGGGCATAGTGACTTAATGGGTTAAGCCCAAAATATGCAAAGACCAAAATATGAGTTAACTAAAGAAGTAAAATAAAAAAAAAACATTTTCCAAATTTTTAATAAACGGATAAAGAAAGAAGAATAAACAAGGGTGAAGGGTACAAATGCAACTTTGTTTGTAAATTACCTTTTAGTAGGGCGTGATTTAATTTCAGACTCTTTCTCGAGGCTGATTTTGTCATTTAATACTTTTGGGCATCCAACAAAATCCTGTCTGTTGTGTTATGTTCTAATACTTTTGGAAGCTGAAATCAAATAAAACAAAAGCAAATTACAAAAATGCCCATTGTTTTTCATAAGAGCTGCAATGTATAAAGTTTTACCACCACGAGAAGCCCTACAACAAGTAATTTTTTTTAAATGTAGTAAAACAAAGAGAGTATATAAAATTGAGAGACTACAATTCCTTTTAATTAAAAACTTTATACAAACTAAAAGTTTTTAAATCATTGATAAAATATAAAAATATGATGAATACTTACGCCATGTCAACAATTTGTTCTTCCTCTTGAGGAGCACCAACCATTACAGGTAGAAAAGAGCTTGCAATTTGCACCTATAAAGAATAAGAAAAATTTATAATTTAAAATAAATAAATAAATAAAACTTTTTTATAAGTACCATGTAATGACCAACCACGTATTCTAGAGTTGCACCATATGGCACTTGATGATCATATACAACCAAGCCAACCTGCTGTCATTGTTCAAGGGGCAATTATGGAAAAATTACATATTTTTATAAAAAAAGATGATGAATGATCCTTTCCTTTGACCACTTGCTTAACAGAAGTAAACTGAGGAACTGATGGGAACTCGGTGTATGTTTTGACAGATACCCTTTTTAACAAAGACTTGTCTAAATCTGAATAGGTTTTATTTGAATATTTAAGGTTTAACGGTTCATCATCGTTAAAAACAGGTGGTTCGGGGACTGGGAAAATCGGGGAGGTGGCGGTGACGTGGCGGGGGGCTGTTTGGACAGAGTGAGGTCATCACTGGATTGTCTTGTGACCAATTTACAGGGTTCATTCTTGTTCTTCCTAATGAAGGGTCGAAATTTTTGGGACCCAGTAATGGAACTGCTTTCCATTTTGCTCTTCAAACAGGGCAAATGTGATTCCCATCTTTCACATTTGAAGCAGTACACTGGAAATTGAATGAATGTGAACATTCTGTTGTGAAAATAGCTTGTCCTTCTCCACGTTTCATTGAAGCTAAACATATTGTGCATGTTTTCTGTCATAAAACAACATATATATATATATATATATATATATATATATATATATATATATATATATACACTATTAGTGAATCAAAATATAATGAAAATCAGATAATTAGAAAAAAAAGACATGAACTTTGAACACTTTTAACCTTCTTCGAAAAATTTAATCAAGCATGATGCAATCAAATTCGAAAAATTAGGGAACTCTGAATCTTCTAGGTTGTACCGGTGAAAGCTTGAAAAAAAAACTTACCAGATCAAGTGTGGGGGTTTGACGCTGAAGAAGTGACGCTAGGGAATATACTGCTTGGGGGTTCATCGCCAGAGAAGTACCGGCAGAGACTGCATGAAGACGACGATTTAAGATAATTTTTGTTGGAATGAAGGAAATTGGGTTCCATGGCATCGATTATATAGTTGAAAGGGAAGAACACTCGGGTGAGTATGTAAGGGTTAATGTGGGACCATCTTCTGGGTTGGATCGGCGAAAGCTTGGTGATGATAGCATAGGGCTGCTGGAGAGTTGAGATAGCGATGGTATCAGGAGGGTGGAAGTAGAAGAAAGAGGGGAGAACCTTGACGACAAGAGTGACAACTTGGCCAACAATTAAGATATCGATTTCCAGATCTGCGTCAAGAAACAAAAAGACTCCTCAACACTGCTTAGGGTTTTTATGAGAGAGAGAGAGAGAGAGACGATGGAGAAGTGATGGAAGAGATTGGGAGAAATGACGACAGTCGTGGACCTTCGGTGGGAGATTAGAGATCACTGCATCTTTGGTGGAGACGAAGAGAATAGGTTTGATGGCGGCTGTGTTTAGGAAATTAGGGTAAGGTCTCGTGTAGTGTATGCAGTATATGTAATAGGTATATGATGTAAATGATCCGTCTAGTGTAATTGGTATGAGATTGGTTATATGTTTATGCTTAAAATTATTGTATAAGAGGGAATATATGTTGTACCTCTTAATTTTCAAGAAGTGAGCAATATCCTTAATAATATAGTAAAGATATATATATATATATATATATATATATATATATATATATATATATATATATATATATATATATATATAACTTAACCATTGTAATACATAGGTCACACAACCATTGCTATATGTAATCCCGATTAAAAATTAGGTAAAGCCTTGGTTTTAAAAATCGTTCACGGCCAGGAAGTGATTAAACATATATGAGATGGACACCTAGGGGGATTTGGGTCCAAGTATATATAATAAATTATTTTAATTTTTTCCAACTGTATAAATTTTATAGTTCAAACTTTTATATTCTTTATTGTCTTTTATTTTACAAAATTTGGACTTTTTAAAAAGATATTGTTAGTATTCTAGCTAATATTCGCATAAACTACAATTGTTAGAAATGAAAATTACAAGAAATGTTCAAGTAGGAAATTTCCAAATACATCACCTAATTATTGCACTGATGGATTTCCTGTTCCATGTCTATATATTCATACGTTCACATTCAATGCGATTTTCATTTTTGGTCCTCCTATTTGTATATATGTTTATAACTTACCTTTAACCATTTAGATTTTGTTTTCAACTTTTTGTTATTTTAATATTCTTAAACAACTATACACATTTATGTATGTGAAAGGTCGAATTAGAATACTAGTATATGACTTCTACTCTAATAAATGAAACTCTTTTTTTGCCACATGCCAGACTATCAATAAATTTATCAAATGTTATTTTATGGTTATTTGAAATAATTTTTATTTCACATGTCATTTTATGAGTTAATTCTATTTTATTAAATTCACATAATATTTTAGTATAATAATTGAAATAAATTTAGCAATAAATGGATATCAATTTCATAAATAAACTTAGAGTAAATTACTGAAATCGTCCCTATGGTTCTGTCAAAATTGTACATTTGGTCCCTAACTTTTTTTTTTTTGCATTCGGAACGTCCCTATGGTTTGATTTTGTTGCGTTTTTCATCCCTATGGTTTGGTCATAATTGCATTTTTGATCCCTAATTTTACGTATGTAAGGGACATAGAACAGAACAAAATCAAACCACAGGGACGATCCGAGTGCAAGAGAAAAGTTGAAGACCAAACGTGAAATTTTCACCAAACCATAGGGACTATTTAAGTAATTTACTCATGAAACTTACCTTTTTATTTAAAAAAATCGAAATTAAGTTCATAAGTTTCTTTTGTTTATTTATTTAAATTATTTGCTTAAGTTTAAAAGATAAAAACATTTCAATTATAATAATTTTTTGTTTTTCTTATTTTCTTCAAAATTCAAAAAGTACTAAAATACTTAAACCTTTATATGCATGCACGCCCGCCGAAAAGTAAATCATGATCTGATCGGGAACCGTCGTCGTCCACCGTTGGGGGTGGTTTTCAAAGATTCAGGAGTTTGAACCTCTTAGACCACCCTTGTTCTCCATTACCACGTTGCACAGAAACAAAGTCAGCAGAAAGCGCCATGGAAATATCCCTACTTGCTGCTAGTCTCTCTTCCTGTGTGTGTGCCACTGGGTGTGGCCACACAACGCTTTCTCGTGATACATGTCTTTCTTGCAAATCGGGCAGATCGTCGGCCTTCTTGCAGTACCTAGTTATGATTATTTTGAATTAATTATTTTCTCCAAATGTCATTTTATGAGTTTTTCTGTTTTATTAAATTCACATAATATTTTAATGTAATAATTGCAGTAAATGTAGTAATAAATGGATATCAATTTCATTAAGTAACTTACATTTTAAAATCAAAATTTCCAATTTAAAATTCATTAGTTTCTTTTGTATATTTATTTAAATTAGTCGTTTAAATTTAAAAGATAAAAAACATTTCAATGATGTTAATTCATTATTTTTCTTATTTTCTTCAAAATTTTAAAATCTTAAATATTTGAACATTTATATATATATATATAATTTAACCATTGTAATACATGGGTCTCACAACCAGTGTTATATGTAATCCCGATTAAAAATTAGGTACAGCCTTGGTTTTAAAAATCGTTCACGGCCAGGAACTGATTAAACATATATGAGATGGACACCTAGGGGGATTTGGGTCCAAGTATATATAATAAATTATTTTAATTTTTTCCAACTGTATAAATTTTATAGTTCAAACTTTTATATTCTTTATTGTCATTTATTTTACAAAATTTGGACTTTTTAAAAAAAATATTGTTAGTATTCTAACTAATATTCGCATAAACTACAATTGCTAGAAACGGAAATTACAAGAAATGTTCAAGTAGGGAATTTCTAAATACATCACCTAATTATTGCACTGATGGATTTCCTGTTCCATGTCTATATTTTCATACGTTCACATTAGATGCAATTTTCATTTTTGGTCCTCCTATTTGTATATATGTTTATAACTTACCTTTAACCATTTAGATTTGGTTTTCAACTTTTTGTTATTTTAATATTCTTAAACAACTCTACACATTTATGCATGTGAAATGTCGAATTAGAATACTAGTATATGACTTCTACTCTAATAAATGAAAGTCTTTTTGCCACATGCCAGACTATCAATAAATTTATGAAATGTCATTTTATGGTTATTTGAAATTATTTTTTTTCACATGTTATTTTATGAGTTAATTATATTTTATTAAATTCACATAATATTTTAGTATAATAATTGCAATAAATTTAGCAATAAATGGATATCAGTTTCATAAATAAAGTTAGAGTAAATTACTGAAATCTTCTCTATGGTTCGGTCAAAATTTTACGTTTGGTCCCTAACTTTTTTTTTTTGCATTCAGAACGTCACTATGGTTTGATTTCGTTGCGTTTTCATCCCTATGGTTTGGTCATAATTGCACGTTTGATCCCTAATTTTACGTATGTAAGGGAGAAAGAACAGAACAAAATCAAACCACAGGGACGATCCGAGTGCAAAAGAAAAGTTGAAAACCAAACATGAAATTTTCACCAAACCATAAGGACTATTTCAGTAATTTACTCATAAAACTTACCGTTTTATTTAAAAATTTCGAAATTAAGTTCATTAGTTTCTTTTGTTTATTTATTTAAATTATTTGCTTAAGTTTAAAAGATCAAAAACATTTCAATTATAATAATTTATTGTGTTTCTTGTTTTCTTTAAAATTCAAAAAGTACTAAAATACTTCAACCTTTATATGCATGCACGCCCGCCGAAAAGTAAATCATGATCTGATCAGGCACCGTCGTCGTCCACCGGTGGGGGTGGTTGTCAAAGATCCGGGAGTTTGAACCTCTTAGACCACCCTTGTTCTCCATCACCACGTTGCACAGAAACAAAGTCGGCAGAAAGCGCCATGGCAATATCCCTACTTGCTGCTAGTCTTTCTTGCTGTGTGTGTGCCACCGGATGTGGCCACACAAAGCTTTCTCGTGATACATGTCTTTCTTGCAAATTGGGCAGATCACCGGCTTTCTTGCAGTACCTAGTTATGATTATTTTGAATTAACTATATTTTCCAAATGTCATTTTACGAGTTTTTTTGTTTTATTAAATTCACATAATATTTTAATATAATAATTGCAGTAAATGTAGTAATAAATGGATATCAATTTCATTAAGTAACTTACATTTTAATATCAAAATTTCCAAGTTAAAATTCGTTAGTTTCTTTTGTATATTTATTTAAATTAGTCGTTTAAATTTAAAAGATAAAAAACATTTCAATGATGTTAATTCATTATTTTTCTTATTTTCTTCAAAATTTAAAAATCTTAAATATTTGAACATTTATATATATATATATATATATATATATATATATATATATATATATATATATATATATATATATATATATATGTATAACTTAACCATTGTAATACATGGGTCTCACAACCAGTGTTATATGTAATCCCGATTAAAAATTAGGTAAAGCCTTGGTTTCGTTCACGGCCAGGAAGTGATTAAACATATATGAAATGGACACCTAGGGGGATTTGGGTCCAAGTATATATAATAAATTATTTTAATTTTTTCCAACTGTATAAATTTTATAGTTCAAACTTTTATATTCTTTATTGTCATTTATTTTACAAAATTTGGACTTTTTAAAAAAATATTGTTAGTATTCTAACTAATATTCGCATAAACTACAATTGTTAGAAACGAAAATTACAAGAAATGTTCAAGTAGGGAATTTCCAAATACATCACCTAATTATTGCACTGATGGATTTCGTGTTCCATGTTTATATTTTCATACGTTTACATTCAATGCAATTTTCATTTTTGGTCCTCCTATTTGTATATATATGTTTATAACTTACCTTTAACCATTTAGATTTTGTTTTCAACTTTTTGTTATTTTAATATTCTTAAACAACTCTACACATTTATGCATGTGAAAGGTCGAATTAGAATACTAGTATATGACTTCT